ATATATTTAAAATATAAATTAAACAAACCCATTATTTAAGAACCAATAGTATCAGGGGAGGGACGTACCTCTTTAAGGACCATCAATTAAAATTATTTCATTGATGACGTCTAATATGTCAGGTGTGAGTCGTGTGACTAAGTATAGGGCTATTTCCGATGGATCGCACGCTTCGTTGAAGGGGGGAGGATATTCATCAAATTTAAAAATTTAATAATTATTAATAAAACAAATTTATTAATCATTTTTTTATTAAAAAAAAAAAGTATAGGGCTATTCCATCAATTCAATGAGCCCTTACTGTCATTGTACCCAAAATCTATAGAGGGATGTCATTTTTAAAAATTTTCAGAATCATCAAAATATAATGAGTTATTTATTAATTTAGTCCTATCAAATTTTTTAATTAATTAACCCCTAAAATTTCTTCGAATTTTGTCTCCTCTTGCAAGTTGTTTTACAGCTAAAAACTTCCCAATAAAGGGGTGTGGGTATACAAGCACACTAGGCATCCCCATGTTCATATCTGGGTTCTAATTCTTTTTCCCTGGAAAAAGGCGAAGCTGCTTGCTTCTTTCCCATTTTTTGGTCTTTTTTGTTTCTCTATCCACTATTTTCTTGGATTGCTACTTGGCAAGTAGAATTATCTCCCCTTTATTTGGAAATGGAGGTTCCATCTGCAAGGAAAAAGAAAGACAATTACTGGAGACCCATGGCCTACAATTATTGACCCTGAAAAAGTAAAAAAAGACAAGATATGCAGTCTCTTACCTCCTGGTTTTTTCCATCTAATTTCATGAGTTTTTTTTTATTGGTCATAGATTTTTTAATTTCATGGTACCTATAAAATCGATTTGCATTTCTTCAATAGGTTATGATGGTCATTGCACAGACAAAACATGGGGTACAATAGAGTCGTTGACGCCATCAAGAGGCGGTTTGCTTTAAATAATATGGACCCTACCAATAATCAACACGCGGTTTGCTTTAGATGAACGTTCAAAAATATGGCCCTACAAATAACATTGTCTGGAGACGAAAAATATGTTAATCTGTTAAGATGGCAAATTTATCCATATATATTTTTAGTTTTGGATTTATAAGTTTCAAGGTTAAAAATATATATAATTATAAAGTTAAGGATTAAAAATATTTATATTTTAAT